TGGCAGTCTAAAACAAGAGTTTGGGTTTATTTTTAAGCAGCTCCTTTGGAAGTGTCTGTAGGCTCAGGCTGCGGTCAGCAAACAGTGCTTGGTATTCAGAGGAGGGGATGGCTTCTGCTCCTCCATCATCTCAGGCAAGACACGCATATGCTCATTGTACGTTTTGTGTCCCACATAATTAAGGTGATGACTATATTCCTCCTACATGAAGAACCTTTTCTGAGTGAGAAATGGTACTGTTCTCATGGGAGACCTCACTTTCCAAAGAGGATAATCAGCACTCCCAGGGGAATCCAAACTCTGAAACTGCACACCCCAAGCTGAGGCACCAGTATTGTTCATTGTTGTTATTTTTAATGAGATCAAGTGAGACTTATGTTTATCTAAAATTATATCCAAATTATAATAATGCAAATTATTATGCAAAAAAGTGCATTGCTTCGGAGGTTGAGAACCCCCCTTTTTTCCCCTTCACCTCCTTAACTGGTTTGATGTGAAGCAATTACCCACTTAATGCAATTAAAGGTAAGATTTTGTATAGGATATGTACCGCCAACAATAATTACATGGGCCACAGCACAAAGAGGGACTTGAATGCAACTTTTGTCTTTGGGTCTCACATAATGTATGTCTTAAAAATGGGCAGACGTGGCACTTCGGGACATGGTTTAGTCTAGTCTACCCTTAATTGGTTTAGTGTGGACTTGTTAATGTTAGGTTAATGGTTGGACTGGATGATCTTAAAGGTCTTTTCCAACCTAAACAATTCTATGATTCTATGATTCAATATGCTAGCAAGTGTAGTAGCCACTCAATTGTTATTATGTAATTGAGTACAACATTTAGACTAATTTAAAGAGTACTTTGCTTCTTGTTTCTGTTTGTATACAGGCACAATTTAGAAGTAAGTGGCATGTAGGCCACTATTATTATTTTTTCATTTAGGGCTGTGGGAGCATCACATCAACCTTCTCCTTTCTTCCTCTGCCCCCTACTGAAGCCTTCTGTTCTGACGGATTCAAAATGCTGGTACATTTTACCCTTTCATTGTCCTCAAATTTGAGAGCGTTTGCAGAGGAAAAAAAGGGTATCTGCACTCATTATATTTTTTTTGGCCAAAAGACAGTATTTTCTTCAGCTAAATATGTCTTTTGTCAAAGACGCTGTTTCCAGTTTTTAAAAGTAGCAAGATTTTAACAAGTTTAGCCTTGTTTTTTTCCCAATTAGTTACAACCATACAGACTATATATTTCTGAAGTACGAGGGTGTGGCAAAATAGCTTGTGATTTACACGCAAATTAAGAACAAAATAGCCTTTAGGCATAACATCATAAAATTCCTATTTGCAATCTCTGAGGACACATCCCAGAAAGGTATGGAAATAAATATGTGTACATAAACACTGTCAGCTGTGGCTAGGTGATGAAAGCTCTAATATAACAAACTAGATTAAAAAAAAAAAATACTCAAGAGGTTCAGGAAGGAGAATTCATCAATGCCAAATTAAGGTATGCTCAAATATTTCTTGGAAGATAGAATCTCATTATCCTGCTGATTTATGGAGCAAAGTAATGACTATAGACAGCATTGTCTAAAGACAACAATGAGCACTGCTATATCTCAGTAATAATTAGTCACATGAAATCTTCAAATTTTTTTTGATTGTTCTCAGGTGATTTGTAATGTAGGAGAGAAATATATTGCACATGGCAATCTAAAATGTAATGAAAATATGCGGCCCAAGTTGCTCCCATATTTAAAATTCTGATTGCAATGCTGCCCACCAACAAAATAATAGTAATTTCTGACAGGAATTATACAACCTAAACTACAGCACAAAGCGTTGTTCACCAAATTACTCATTCCATATCCACAATTATAGCCCATTTGTTTTCTTACGCTGATAACAAAAGATACATTTTAAGATCTGCGCTGTGCTACTCTTCCTTTAATAAATAAAGTAAGCTTTTCAAAAGCTACAAAATGATGCAGATAAAAATCAAAACATTTCTACATTTAAAGATTCAATCAAAGACTTGCCATGAATGGTGTGATATTAAAGTTTAAAAAAATAATCAATTTAGCTTGTATTTTTGAACATGATTTGTCACAAATAGCATTCCCAATAGATAAGAATGATTATATGGTAAAGAGCGTAATTTATATATCTCAAGCACTATGCTTTTGTCACCGACATCGTTAAGGAATTTGACACGTTTGCAGGAGAACAATATATGTCAACTGAAATATATACCAATTAACCATAAATGGGACACTGAAATGAATGATGCATGTGCATGCTATACTTACAAGTAATAACATGTGGTTTAAAGTCGCTTGCGTTTTCAAACAAGAATTCTTTTTATGTTGTCATTTAAAAAATCTAATATTTCAAAAGGTCAGGAATAAATAGCACCATTAGCATTAAAAGCTAGCTAAAGGGAAAGTAATTTGTTGTTCATTTAACATTGCATTTTATGTAATAGCTTTGTAAAGTGTTCGGGGGGGGGGAGATTTTACTCTGCTAAAACAAGATGACGGCAGCTCCAGTTCATTATTAAAAGGAGATTTTTTATTATGCTATTGTCAACTTTAATGTCTTGATTCTGTTAGGTGTTTGTTAAAATTACATGGGCTGCCGAAGTGGCTATGGCAAAGGATAATGCAGAGAATATCTTGACTGTCAAAACAATTGCGTAGGCAAGAATCTGCTTATACTAAGGTACAGGAACAAAAGACAAAGGAGAAACTCTTCTGCAGTGTTAGGAAGTTAATAGCCCTGTTGAGGTTTCCTCAGCAGGAGGTACTGAGATCAGGAAGCCAAATTCTAGAAGACACAAATAGCCAAGAAAGAAGGAAACAGGCGATGTCAAGCGGATGCAGGGTACATGGAAACGCAATGTCAGATGCTGGCTCCCATGTCTCTGGTTATGCGTGCTCTGGGTGAACCCGTAACTACCTCCCTGGAGAGGGGATGTGCGTTCCTCCTTAGACTGGATGACCTGAACGAAGTGTGAAGGCATGTAGAGTCCTGTGGCTGGATCCTCTGCCTCCTGCACAGCTGCAGGAGCAACCCGAAACTGGACTTACTGCAGCCTGATGCAGGACAAACAATTCACACCCTTGAACTTATTAGGCCTTACCCTCTTATTCTTTAACTGTAAGGTTGACCATGGATGGGAAAAACTGGCACCAAAATAAGCATTAGCCTATAGCCCTCAAGGACAGCATGGGCTGGGAAGAAAACACACAAAGCAAACTTCTCCACTGTGCACTTGCTGCTGCATGAGGAGCTGCGCAGGGAGGGAAGCAATTTAATGAGGGGCAGACACGAGTAGTATCGTCAGGGTGACAAAACATTTGGTTTTTCCCTCTTGAGAGAAGCTGGACAAGACGTTGGCTTAGCATTTTAATACCCCACACATCTGTGACAGCATAGCAAGGCGTGTCGCCTTTACTAATTCATATGTATTTTCCCTATTATCCTCCGTAGGGCAGGGTTTCAGGGACTCAGGAAACATGATCCAGGTGAAAACTTGGTTCGTACTGTGCTCCTGGGGCAGCACAATTGGGTAGTGCCTTTTAATCTGGGCAAGAAGCACAAGTCCAATCTAGAAGGTTTTTAAACCTAAAAGCAAGCCCGCGCATCTCTGACTAAGACTGAAAATGATGGGGGAGATTCTCTTCAGTTGGGTTAAACCAAGGAACAGTTTGATTTTCACTTAAGGGACTTATTCCAGCTCTGAGCATGCCCACAGGTTGCCAATCTTCAGTGCTGATCATTCTTTTTCTACTCTTTACAGCCCCCTCTCCCTCCCATCACCCTGTGAGAGCTGACAGAACGTACTGAATTAAACTGCTTTTTCTTCTGTATTAGAAGAGTAGTGCTCTAACACAGAATAAATTGGTTTTAACCTCCACGACCACAAGGGGAATCTGAAGCCTTGCAAAGGGGTTTATATCCTTCAGGACAAGACATTCTTGGGGAGGAAAGGTCACTCAGAGAGGCAGAAATAGCAGAGTGCCCCAATCTGGGGAACCCCAAGAGAAACTGCTGAAGAGAAAAGGTCCCAAGGAGCAGTAGATGTCTAGGCCCCAGCAGTTCTGTGGGTTTTTCGGGGAGGATGGAATTCCTCTGGGAGCAGAGAAGCAGCAGCCTGCTTCTCCAGCAGCAGGCTGAGGGAGCCAAGACAGGATTACGTAGGGACAGAAATGAATTCGTGAACTAGCCACGCTTCAGCTGAATGTGTTTATCAAAAAGCAGGGAAAGAAGCAACTCCCTCATTCCATTACCTGTTTTGACCACATCATCTGGTAGTTTTGTTCAAGGCTGAGGGCCAGCATATGGTTTTTCAGGACACTTTGGTGATTGTTCTGATTATAAGCATTTTAGTGAAACTTCACTAGTATTTGAAATTTGCTATGCAGCTTTCTCAAATTAATTCTGTCCAGATCATATGGTACAAGCTTAGTTCAGCATTAACACACCAAAACACTTTACCAGTTCTCCATCATGTTCGCTGCTCCATCTCTAACAGGTAACTAACATTAAACTTCTGTCCTCATTTTGTAACCACTCGCCCTCCTATCTCTCTTTCATTTTTATCTCACGTTAATTCTGGGTTTAACCTTCAGTTTGATTAAGAACATCAGCTTCCTTAATCCTTTCCTCTCCTTCTATTCACAAGCAGGTCTGCTTTCGCTTGGTACTGCCCAGGAGCCACTATCCAGATTCTGTTACCTATCCCCTTTCCTCCTCTTGTCTGAAATTATTTTGAAATAGGCTGAAATCAGGGGAATATTTCAACATGCTTTGGCTCATTCACTCCTAAAATTTCTGTCTATAGAGAGGTATCCCCAGACTTAACCCCCCCCCTCAACCCAGCAGAAAACCCCCAACACACATCATGAGTATTATAACTGCAGTGACTGCAGACCCCAGTGTTTTATGCATGACTAGGTTTTATTGGTAGCAAGGTTTTTGGCATCCATATGTGCTGTTAGCAAGCAGTAAGAGTTTGGAGAACATCCTCCCTCACTGTCTCGGAACCACAGAAGCGGTATCTGAAGGAAAAAAAAAATACAAGCACCTTGAGTTTTCAACATTTGTTGAGATTATACAAGTGGATTTTTTTTTTAATATAAGTCAATCTGATTTGTCATTTGACACAACTGAACACACAGCATCCTTTGAGCTCCTAAGTTTGAAATATTATTGCTGGGGAAAGTATTGGTGGACTGTAGTCATTGTGGTTCACTGCCTGCCTTCCTTTCCATTTACAGTTTCTTTTCTTCCAGAATTTGTGCTACCACCACTATGTAGATGATCACAACTACTTGTGTGAAGGGCATCAGTCAAAAGAAGAGTGAGTGCATTTCACAGAAATGTGCTTCGTCAGCAATGTGCTTTGCTGAATAGGAACTACAACTGGACTTAGGAGCTCTGCTTAAAGGTAATGCTGCTGGACTGTGATCATTTTGCTTTGCTTGAAACTGTTTCCATCTCTCATGTTGTCTTTTAAATGATGGCATTTTAACCCTGAATTTCTATATGGGTCTAACACGTATCCTGTACCTCCTTTTCTAGATACCTAATCTTGGGGTGGATGAAATAATATAACTGATTAAGCAAATGAGGGGGTTAAAAAGTCCATGAAAATGAGTAAAACTGGATCAGTAAATCATGTTTCTACATTCTGAGCATCTAAGCCATATTCCATGAAGTCTACAGAAGTCAGTTTTAGGCTGTTTCCCTCAGCTTTAGATTTAGCCTTTCAAACACAGCTTCCAAGTATTAGTCTTGCTCATTGGAAGGCTAGGCTTATTATCACCGTTCTCTCTTGTCAATCGTGATCTCAGGGACCATCAATATCAATGGAAAACTTCCACTGTTTCCAGCTGATGGTGAATCAGACATCCTAATGCAAGCTTAGACACAGATAACCAGTTCTTGTGGACAGTGAGTAGGCACTTGACAAGAATGATGCTGATAATCCAAGCCAGTGCTAATTTTTCTCACCCAAAGGGTTATACAGGAAGTTTGCTCTTCTGAAGCCTTTTCTTTGAAGCTATTTAAGGCAAAGGGTTGAAGTAGTAGTGAACTGAACTATGGATGAACAGTGTCTTGAAAGGAAGGAAATGAAAGGTCTTCTTGAGGGTCTTTGAATGCTTTAAATAGCTTTTCTTGTGAAAATGCTTTCACCCCACATATAATTTTATCACCTATCTTCCCAAATAACTTTCAAGATTTTCACAATGGATATACTTACTCTGTTCCATTTTGCCCAGATTGTACTGTGACAGTCGCAGCTCCTAGTTTAGGAAAAGTTGGATTTAACCTGTTGTTGTTCCAAAGAAATTTAACCGTTGTAACTCTTCCAACGTTAACTTCTGCATCAACGAAGCCTGTGTAAGCGTTGTCTGGTTGGAGGGTTCCCCTGTGAAAAATAACATTTTATGAATGTGAGGCATTCTGGCATTTAATATTAATTACCAGTTCTGCCAACAGATTGGCTGTGGTAGCAAGTAGAAAGTTAGCAGAGAGATAATATTTAGCTTATAGTATAGTAACAACATTATTGCCAACTTTCCAACATAATACATCCCAAATCAGTGTTTGTCAGAAGAACCAAGGACAGGTAGGCCTGGTGTGCTGTGCTGCAGTGACACCTCACAATGAAGACCTAGTTACAGGACAAACCCTGTGGAGAAGGTAGAGCTTGCTCCCTGTTGCTTACATAGGCAGGGTTCTTTGCACATAAGTGAAATTTTCATTTAATGTTAATTAATTTATATGATACAGATGTTGGATTTGGGATGGCCAAAAGGATTATGCACCAGCTGCTCAGCCTGGTTCTCTAGCAGAAATTCCCACACTTGAAGCACCGTGGCCAAGTCAAATGCGCATCCACTCTTGGGTCACCATAGCTTATAACCTGGCAACTTATTCCATGTTGCATCGATCTAGCAGGCTCTAAATGGCAGCAGTTTGAGACTGGTAATGGCTTCAGCTACTACATTATGGCAGTGGAAGTAATGAGAGACAGGAAAAAATCCCTTTGCCTTTTTGTTTCTTTGCTGGATCCACAGTCATGCCTGGTAGGTTAGAGCAAGATTTGCTGGGGGGAAGAGTTCACTTCCAGCAGTTGAATTGACACAGGATCTGCAAATAGCAGCTAGAGTGTGCTGGAGAGCATTCAGTACTGGCAGACTGATCTCAGGTGAATGCACGGATGCGTGCAAACAGGGATCAACTCATGGCAAACACCTGCTGCCAAGTGTGAAGATGTGAAGTCCTTCTTGGAAAGGTGGAAGCGACATAGCTGTCAATAAACAAAAACCAAACCCAAAAAATAAAACCCAAAACCCACTTCAAAATGTCTTCTCCCTATTTTTCATCATTTCAGACATTTTAGTTGAAACAAACAAGAAAAATGCAAATAAACAAAACCACATGAGGCAAGCAAATATCTTCAGTATAAGCAGGTGAAGTTATAAGACCCAAAAAGTAGTAGTAAATCATGAGGTAGCTTTAGCAGCAACATTTTACAAGCCTGTGAAAGACAAAGAGATCAGAACTCTGCTAGTGTAGGTCCAGCAAGACCTTGCTGGTACAGCAAACAAGTGACACCGAATTCTAACACTTTAAAATCCTGCATCCTAAACTTCTGCCTTCAAATCCAGAGTGAGTGAATTGTCACTGCATTTACATCAGGGAGCTGTACCTGGGGGTAGAATGTGATCTGTAAGATAGGACCAATTTAAACAGAAATACTAATTGAAAATATTAATTAAACATTCTAAAATTGAAGTTTCTTTTCTGTTGAATTTTGAACTTACTCAAAAATCTGGTGCTGCCTTGTGTTCCCACCACTTCCGTATAGGGCAATATTTGCATATCCTTTAACTTTATGGTTTCCAGAGAGAGTCATGGTTACTTTGTACCTCCAAACTACACAGAAGAAATACAGTAAGTTAGATTGTACTCAGGCAGAAACAGTACCCAAAATATCAAGTGTCGGTTTTTTGGTCTGTACAGCGTATTTGAAAGCAGAAGAAAATTATCACTGCCTTTCACTTCCAGCTCAAGGCTGCATTGCAGCCTGTCTGGACTGAAAGGGGTTAACACAATGCTCTCTCACACCTGAATCTTGGTGCTCCCTGCTCTTCCTTTGGTTATAACCATGCAAAACAAACACAAAACGTCAGTGAGTCAGATCTGTCATTATGTCCTAATGAGATCAACCTGAGAAATGGGTAGACATTTGTGTTACTTTTGGGGAAGGGGAAAAAAAAAAGCTAGTCCATAACATGGTAAACACAATACAGATCTCAGTATTTTGACCACAAAGTTTTTGATATACAGTGAGGTTGGTAAGAAGGAGGTGTTAGCAATCAATACTGATCCATACCAGAATATAAGCAGTGTAAAAGGAGTGTAAAAAAATTCTGAAGCTCAAGGAAAATAATTTTTGTGGGTGGGAACTTTCTTTTAGTACACAATTTGCAAAAGCAGCTCTTCTCCCTCTGATTCTTGTTTACAAAGGCTAAGGAAGAACCATTTTGTGAGAGGTGAATTTAGGATAACCTAGGTTGTAAAGGAGGTCATCTGGTCCATCCACTTCTCAAAGCAGGGCCAGCCATGATTGGCTTGCTCTTGGCCTTTGTTAAATAGTTTTGAACATCTCCAAAGTAATGACTGTTATCATCACCATAATTTTCATACTATTTAATAGGAAATTCCCTTGCTGCGACTTCTGTGCACTGCCTATCCTCCTTTCTCCTTGTACCTTGTAGTGCAGGCCACTAAACATCTCAGTGACCTCCACTGGACTCTATAGTTTGTCAACATCTTTCTTGTACTGGAGGGCTCAAAACTGGGCACTAGTATTGGAGCAAAAGGGGAAAAGGCACGAAGGACTGAAGAGCCATTGCACTGCTATGAGGTCTGTTCATCTGTTAAAATTAATTGTAAAACAGGAAACTAAAAAGGTTTGTTTGCAAGGAGTAGGTACCAATGGAAGCAATCGAAACTCACGAGGAAAATCCTTGGCTTCCCCAGTATTCAGGTAAAGTTTCAGGAAATCATTTTTAGTTTTCCCTTTGAATTTATCTGCAAAGTGACCCATATTTGGGCATCCCTCTCGTGGGCATGGGAAACACATTTCCTAGTAAAAACAAATATATGTATTAATAAAATTATCCACCCAGCCAAGAAAAAAAAATAGTCATAGAACTTATTTTTAACATACCCATCTAACTGGGCCTGTGTCACAGCAACAACAAATTTTAAATAACCCTTTCTGTGACTTGAGAAAGATCATATAAGCTAGCCAACTTTCTCAAAGGCTCTGATTTTTCAGGGCTCTGTGTTTTTTCTCGTGTCATTTAGCTCAATCCAGACACACCCATGACATCCTTGAGTAGTCTTGAACTGAAGTGGGGAGGAGAAGGCATCCTTCCCAGCAGCTGATGAGAAAGAATGATGTCTCCTTATACTTCCAGGCTGGCTCGAGAAAGGCTTTGTCTTGAAAACAAAGCTCATTTTTGTCATGAAAGCAGCTCTCTACTGTGGTGAAAGAAGCAGGTAATCACCTTCTCCCAAAGTGATCTGAGAAGCATGATCTCTGTCAGATCTCTGCCCAGAACGTATAAAGGTCAATCTAAGTACACATAAGTTGATGCGTCTGTTAGTGCTGCCTGTAGGATATGACAAGCCCATTACCTCCCTGCTACTCTTAGGCTGTAGTTCCCTATCTCCTAGTCTGGGACAGGGAAGGGCTTCCTGACCTAGTCCATAAACCATTGTGCTGTGTCCCTGAGGCCATCTTAAGCAACCAAAGTACTTTTGACCATGGACTGACCACACCATGCCATCACATATTACTTTACTTCTTGCTTTGAAAAGAAGATATTTAAGCCAGGTTTGAAAGCTCACCTGCTGCAATATGGGATTCCACTCATTGCTGTTTGATAAATACATTTGGTGATTATGGGACAGGCTCTCCACCTTGCCTCTTCCCCAGTTTGATGCAGCAGAGCCGGCCTGGGGAAGCCACACCAGCTCCAGTAGTACCTCAGGGCCACCACAGCAGCACAGAATCAGGGACATCCCTGTTTTGTTGTTGCCTTTTCCTACTTTGACCCATGTCAGCTGCATGAACTATACTACTTTAGAATGTCTGACACTTGTCTCACAGACGCCCTCATTGGGTGCAAGCTAGCATAAATACGTTGAATTTCACATGTATAGATAAAAGCCACTGTTTTTTGATATGGTCCATCCTGAGGTTCTGTGAACTACTTACTGTTTCAAAAACATCATATGAAGGACAAGCATAGCCCAGAAATCCATCAGGGTAGATAATACTGTCAGAGTAATACTTGTAACTCCGCAAATGATTGCAAGCCACGAAGTCGCGAGTGCCTGTGAAAAGATGCTCCCAGGTTAGTTCTTCCTTTCTGGTACTATTCAAGGAACGATACAGGCACAGTCCTTGCCATGTCATTGGGACGCATCATTCCTCCTCAAAAGTCTCATCACAATTCCTGGAGTATCAAACACAAGGTTTGAAGCTTCCTTTTGCAATAAACTGATGCCCTAAGGAAGGTCACTGACTCAACAGGTATAAAATACAAACTTGAAATACTTTGTGGAGACTGACTGTGCAGCGCAGCTCAGCTCCTGCCCTGCCCTCCCCTCACAAACACATATTAAAGCAATCCGACCGAGTTTCACAATAGAAATGAGAACTGCATGAAGCAGGTCTTTTGTAGGCAACAGTTGCATTACCATAACAAAAGAAAACCAAATGAAAAGTATTTAACAGCGAACTTCCTAGGGCAATACTGATTTGCTCCAGCTGAGGACTTCAAAACAAAATTATTATTATTTGGGGGGTGCTTAAGGAAAGGAGAATCCTAAAATTAAAATAATGAATATATTATTTTCCTTTGTGTTGCCTTTATTTTCCTGTCTTTAAGTTAAAAAGAATATCATATACAACACAGTTATTTCTTTGTGCTTTAATTCTCCATTATTGATAACAAGTTTAATCGGGGGTGTGTGTGGGGGGGGAAGTAATGCCTCCAGCTGCATTGAATGAAACCTGGAGAAAAAGGCTAGTTATCACAAATAAGTTCATGGATTCCTGGAGTTTAAGGTGTTTGCAGTAATGTAAGAAAGAACTCAGATCATATACTGAAAAATCTCTACAGCAGGAATTTATCTTTGTCTGTTTATTTAATGTTATGTGCAACTTAACTTTATAAAGACAGAAATTTTCTAATAATTAGAGCTTTTATTAGAACCATGCAAAACAACAAAGAAAAGTGTATTTGAATAGCTACATGCCAATCTTTTTTTAGCTGACTAAAAATAGACACAATGCTTTAATGCAACTCAGATTTGTAATAGATAATTTAAAAAAAAAAAATTAATTGCTCTATCTCAGAAGAATTGCAGCTGAAGATCCCCTAACAGAAGCAGCTGTGAGCGTCATTGCCATACTCCACCCAGTACTGCTGCTGGGCAACTAAATAGAAACAAAGTGAAATGTGTTGTTACAGACCCTTCAAAATTTTTGGCATGGTTTAGGTAACTTTTATTTCTGCTTTTAGATAGTTTAGAGGAGGCATATTTTCCAGAGGCAAATCCTTTGTCTTGTTTATTTTTTAAATAAGCTCTGGAAAATGGTGTGTTTGAGCATATTAACAGTTTCACTGCACTCTGCAACTGCTAGTGCTGGTGGACACACCAAAAGCTAACACAAAACACCTGAATGAAGAGAAGTTAAGTGGTTACATTGTGAGGGTGACCTTCCCTTGAATTTGTAATGTAATCAACATACTTACCTTCCCAGATGCCATCAAGATCTACGATCTGTGAAATAGGGTTCTTCCCACACCCTGGCATTTGTTTTCCTCCGTTTGGATAAAAGTCAAGATGTCCTATAGCTGTGCTCATGCCAAAACCTGAAGCATTTAAAGCAGGGGTAAGCATCTTTTAAGTTGACATTTTCTCATAACTATAGCTTCTGGCTTGAAGCTTGTCTGTGCTTGGTATTTTAGGATACGGGTGATCAGTATGGTGGTGGTGTTCTGTGTCTGTGTACCAAGACTGAGTCTTGATGAACAATTAGGATACTCAAGTGCCCTAAGGCATAAATATTTTGATATTAACACAGTAGAACTGAATGCTCACCTAAGTAGGGGATTGTGGGAGCTGAATCTGTGTGGATAATATCAACAAACTCTGCATCGGATTTATCCAGTCTGACTTCAATGGGGGTGTCTTGAAAATAAGGTTGAGCAGGGTCCAGTCCTGAAAGAAAAAGACTGGTGTTATGTATAGGTGGATAGAGAGGTATCATTTTACACAGCACTATGATTGTATAAAATGAGTAGGTGCCTATGGTTCCTTACACCTAAGTAGAATAGGCATTACTAAAATGATGATGTGTGCTCTCACCAAGTGGCTTTTCTCCCAGGTAGGAGAAAAGGTTACCTATGTGAAGCCTATGGAATTTTACTGATTCACATCAATATTGCATCTCAACACTTGGATATAACTTTTTTCTTTTTAAACTGAACTGCCCTTTTAATAATGTTGCTCAAATTGAGATTGCTGTGTCTGCATGCCATATAACTGATCTGTGTGGTCTGAGCATACTCGAAGGGAGATGGATGCTGATAGAACCCCATGTGCTTAGAAGTGTTGAAACCAACCTGCCTACTTCTGGCTTCAGACAGCTTTTGGAAAAACATCTAGTTTTGAAGTGGTGGCTTTTGCTTTTGATCCTAGCAGAAAACAGAATTCATTTGTTTCTCGAATTGTTGCAGCAATTTCAGGAGCTTGTAAACTCTTGCAAATAGCATGATTTTTGCTATCTTATACTTGCATCTCTTGTTGTCCCTGGGCAACAGATTTGGTTTTGCCTTTAGACTGAATTTTGTAGACTATTAGTCTGAGGTTCACTGAGCCTGAAATCCCTGAGGAAAAGTAACAATTGAAAAGGGCTGTGTTAAAAATATCTAAAATTGTCTTTTGTGTACAAAAGGTCACTCTGCTTACTGCACACTGCCTTTGGCGCTGCCTGCATGATGAATAAGGAGATCTTGCAGTGTTGCAAAATGGTTCCTTCAAGAGTCATTTGCTCTCAGCTAGTGCGGGTAGAGAGCAGATTACAAGCCAAAGGGTGCTGAAAAATGAAAACTTGCTGTTGGATCAAAGGGAAGATGAAAGCGTTTCTGGCCAATGGTCACAGAGGCTTGATCTCTTATATCTTGCAAGAGACAGACGCTATTTATGGGACCAGTGGAGGATGTCCAGAGTCCGCATATTCAGGGCGGCATGTGGACAGCTATAAAACAAAACAACCGAAAATGCCTGCTCAGAAAGAACTGAACAGGAAAACATGGCTCAACGGTAGTGAAAGGCTTCCTCGCGTTCTCAGAGCATAGAGTGCATAACTCGCAACAGGGAGAGACAATGGAGAAATGCAGTGCTGGGGAGGTGAAAACTGAATCAGCATAGCCAACTGAAAATTAAGAGGACAACATCATATTCCTTAAAAATGTCTGAACTTGGAAATGTGGGAGTACTTAAAATGGACAGGCTATTACTTAGGAACATAGTGAAAATGCAAGGGGGGCTTTCTGATCAGTCAGCTCTGATGTTATCTGGAAAGTAGGAGTGAGCTCATGCAGCTCGAACTAATACAGGTTGTATAAACATAATGCCTGTGATCTCCCTCAAAAAGAAAAAGGGGGTTTGGCTGAAATCTGACTGTTTCTTTAAGTACGAGTGCACTTTCTTAGTAAGGATTATTGAATCTGGACAGATTCACGTAGACTATGTGACTCAATTTTTGCTGCCAAGAAAATGCAGAGATTTAATGTATTAACAGCTAAGTGAAGGAATGAAACTCTAGAAAGTTTGCTGGAAATTAAAAAAAAGATAGCTTAATTACTGTTAACGTACTCTGCTAGGTGAAAAGTTTATGTAGACATAGCAAAGCGAGGTGATGATGGGTGGCATATCAGGAAGGTTAGCCTACTGCTTCTGAAATGTCAGGTTTAATCCATCCTTTTCTGGAAAATAATAGTTGTTAGCAAAGCTACTGTACAAAATAACTAACTGCTCGCTGTTGTGGTGCTTCTAGCATGCTTTGGAGGGACCTGCAAGTGGTGGGTGATGTTGTGCATCAGATGTGCTGCTATATAACAGGCCAGATTAATGAAAGATGAAAATGGCATGAGAAAAGCTGCTAGGACAAGGTAGGATTTACTCTCCTGGTTTTATTACATTAGTGTTGGAGAAATCATTATGAAAAACAATCATGGCAGCTAAATCTGGTTGTATGTTAGTTAGTGTGAGTTTGTTTTTTAGCAGCGACAAGGGAATGTCGTTACGTTAGAACATCGCTCCTGTCCTGCTCCAAACTAGCACTGGCCCGTGACACAGCTAGGCTGGAGCACCAGAAAGCTCTGTAGGGATCGCTGCAACTGTTAATGTGTATCAGTAAGTCAACTGATGTATTGCAGGGGCCCTTCTGGCTCTGTTAGCTCTATGGAGTTTTCCTTTGCTGTGTAAACATATGCAAGCAAAATAATCATCACGCTGACTGTTTTCCCACACTTAACCGGGGCACCACTCCTCTGTGTACTGGGAGAGGAGGCTAAGTTCTATAACGTCCAAATTACCCTTGACTAAACTACAGCCCACACTCAAATACAATCATAAGAAAAATGAACAGTGATATTTTGTTAAGCAGTGGTGTCTTTAGTATGAGC